GGCCCATAAAGGTTTAATTGTCCCTCTAACTAGTTTTTTAAAAAACCCACAAAGAGGCTGCCAGCTTTCCCCAGAGTTTAAAACCAACTGAATGCGGTTCTGTGGAAACTGCTTTAAGTGTGTAACTTGCACCGTGTCCTGGGGCACAAGGCGCGATTGTTTTGGGGACTCGAAAGATGCAGCTCTTAGGAGACTTTTAAAGTCAGCTTTTGTGGCTTTGGCTGCTGCTGACCCTGGCTCGCTCTACAGAGAGAGAGAGTGAGGGAGAGAGAGACTGAGAGGGCCCCTCTCACCAGGAGCCTGTAAATTACTCCCAGGGTGCCACTGCCCCCTGCTGCCACCTTCCAGTTCAGGGGGGGATCCCCGGTCACAGGACCCTAACCGTGCCTCCTTTTCTCTCCGACATTGTCTTTGCTGGTTTAAAAGACTCACAGGAAGCTAAGGACAGAGGAGAGACAGACAGAGAGAAAACATGTCTATGAGACAAAAAGAGAAAGACACTGGTAACCAAAACTAGGTCCAGAGAGATACACTTTGCCTGACTTCTTGGATGTGTGTGGGGAGCAGTGGCCCACTCTATGTCACTCCTCTGACACTGCTGCCTCCCTCATTTGTGCCTATGTGTTCATTCTACAGTTACTGAGTGGGCACTTACTTTGTGAAACCGGGGGGCCAAGTCGCTTTAACTACACTCAGTTGTCTCTTTGCAAAAGTAGTTAGATAATGCACTACCAAAACCCACCCTACAGATAACATCTCTGATGCTTGGGTCACCATGGTAACGGGTGCTTGAGTTTTTCAGGAACTGAGAGTCAACTCCTCGTCCAGTTCAGGCTGGTTAAGACCACCAACTCATCAGCTGGGCCTGCATGGATGACCCATAGGCCCTTTGATGTCAAGGAACTGAAAACTCCACTCTCAGATGGCGGTAACACCACCATTTTGTGAACATGAGTCCCATGAAGAGCCATGAAGCTTGACTATGCTTGCGCAGGTCATCAGTTACCTCACTTCTCCTCACCTCCAGTCATCTATTCCCACACTTCACACCACCCTGGCCCTCTACCCCATAACTATCCCTAATCCCCATTTTTTGGGGAGGTGGATTTGAGATTTATTCTCCCGTCTCCTCACTTGGCTGCCTAGTGAATTAAACCCTCTCTCTGCTGCAGACTCGTTGTCTTGGTGATTGGTGTAATCATGGAGCAGGGAAAACGAACCTGGTTCCATAACGTATGTTCCAGGCACAGTGGTGAATGAAACGCATACGGTCCCTGCTCTCAGAAAGCTTATAGCCTCATGGGTGAGTAAAAGCTAATTATGCAAACAAACATATAATTACAAACTGTAGTGAGTGCTAGGAAGAAGTAGAGAGTGTTGAGAGAAGTTAATGGAGGGCCATAGAAGGATGTCCAAGGAAGTGAGTCCTTGTAACCTAGACATGAAGGATGAGAAGGAGTCAGTGAGGTCAAAGGGGGTTAGAGGAGGGAGAAGCATCCTAGATGGAAGGGACAGCACGTGCAAAGACCCCGAAGCAGGAAGGAGCGGGGCCTGTTAAGTATTGCTCATGGAGTGAGATGTGGCTGGAGAAGTGGGCAGTCAACGCTGCTGCCAGAATCTTTGTGCTGTCTTTGAGCCCCCTTTCTTTAAAGATCTGTAATGGTTTCCTCATCCATCACACTTCACTTTGAGCTTCAAAGGGCTATGTCCAGACCGCCCCCAGACTACCTCAACCCTTCTCACACTCCTCTTGGGTTCTGTGAAGAAAACACATTTGTCAACAGACTAAAGCAAATAGTTTTGACATGCGGTTCTGTATCATAAGGAGGCTGTAATGAAGTCAGTCCCCGTTTACATGACTCCAAATGGTTCCGTTTAAATGTCCCACCCTGTATTTACGTGTCCTACCCACTTCAGTTGACTGTTTATCTTCCAGTGTATTCTACGCTACTTGCAGTCTGGGCCTCTATTTAACTTCGTCTCTTACTTTTTCCATTCCATGGCCTGTCATTTACATTTTTCTTAAGGAAATGTAAATATTTATTTACAGTATTAGCTTCTACTCTTGCTTAGCTCTGTATATCATGGAGTAAACAGACTGTGATATGGGTTCTAGTCCTGAATTTTCCGTAAACTGGTGGTGACCTTAGCCAAGTCATTCAACCTCACCGAGCCTAAGATGCTTCTTTGTAAAATGAGGTGTTTTTCATTTTTGTTACTTTGTTTTGTTTTAGCTAGCAGATCCACATTCAGGATTCCTCTCAAATTCTGTGGCTCTGTACCTCTTACAGCCACCTAGGAGTATTTCTCTTACACCTTTCTCTTTATCCGCCCCTCTTTCAGAATGCCTTCGTGGGTAGGACTGACTTTCTACATAATTTGCTTTTGTGGGGTAGTGGACGCAGGATAGTATTGAACAAGTGAGAACAGATCATACATTTGGGCTTGGATCAAAGCTCACATATGTGGAGAAGTCGTCGAGGAGTAGGAAAATTCTAGCTATATGCCTGAAATTCCCTTAGACAGCTTCTCAAACTGGGGTGTATATACCCACAGGGGCACACAGAGGTGTGCCAGTGAATATAGGAATACCCTTCCTTCTGGAATAAGATTCTACTCAAAGATTTGAGGAGAACAAATAGACTTTGGTATTAAAACAAATATGGACATATTATGAATAAAAGATAAAAGTCATATGACATCTTAATATAAAAGGGGAAACCTGGGGTGGACAGCCTTGGGCACACTGCAATGTGAGAGGAAACAGGGCTTTTACTTCTGTCCTTGGGTCATTTGAAAAATAATTGCCTTATGGGTCTTTTGAGATATGTGCCCTTTAATAGGGAAAAGGTGTTAAGTTATTCAGGGGGGGCATTCCTGCCAAATAATGGAGATATGTGAAAAATCCAGTTTCACCCATTAGGAGAGTTTAAAGAGGGTCCTGAGGTTGCAAAGGAGCCAGGTTGAACAAGAGTCCCATTTCCACAGCCCAACTCAGTTATACAGTCTTGCTTAGGATCCTGGCTAAACGCTGGGGCTGAACTGACCCAAACATCTGGGAGATCTCTCACCTTTTCTCTGACCTCCAGTAGCACTTCCTGTTTGAGCCCTAGCTCTGGTACCTACCAGACCAGTATACTTTCTCATTTATACAGCTTCTCAGGCAGAGTGAGGGAGGTAGTGTGAATTAAGAGACAGCACATGATCAAGAGACAAGGCCTTGCTTGCCATGTGACTTTTGGTAACTATCTGAAATCTCCCTGGTCCCCCATTTGCTCTGCTATTAAATGGTCCAATGTAACACCTGCTGTGCCTACTGGACAGGTAGGACTGTGTGCGGGGCATATGGATTTGCAATGTAAAAGCATTTTGTAAATCATTGAACAAAAATCAGTTATTATTAACTAAGACCCCAAAGGGAAGGAGGTATATCTCTCACTTCATCTCTCTATTCCCCTCAACCTCTAACTTTTGCCTACTTGGTTCTGATAACTGTTAATGATAAAGATCATGAAATGCTGTCCCCAGGCTGACCCTGGGAACACTCTAATTCTGTCCTTCTCCCCTACCCCCCTCCTTTCCTCCTCTTCTGGCATCCCCCCCCCCCCCCCCCCCCCGCCCATGTGCTCCCACACTGCTCTTTCTTCCTGCCGCCCCTTCCAGAGAATTCCAGTATTAAGAGGATGCTTAAAGAGTCTGTGTAATGCATATGAATGAACTGCTGGAGGGATTTCAGGCATCAGCAGGGAGAGTTTTATGGCAATGCCGTTTTTGTGGGGAAATGAACTGGTGTCATGCTGGAAACTTTCTTCCTGAAATAAAAATGCCCAAACAGAATTCTGGAATTTTTTTTTTAGGAGAAATCAACAGCCTAGCCTAAATGTTTCCCTATGTAATAACGAAGAAATATTTTCATTGAACTCTTTGCTTAAGTCACCATACAACTTCCTACCATTTCTGCTGGGTTTGGCGTGAAGGCCAGCCTGCTTCACAGCCGACATCCCTGAGGGAAATACCAGGAAAGGGCGAGGAGGAGGAAAGGGCAGGTTCAGAACGTATTGGATTGAGAGACTCTGGCTGAACAGTAACTTTACTAGGCCATTCCCCTCAGAGCTGCCTGCGCCTCAGAGTGGAGTGGCCTTTCCTTAAGCAGAAACGTTCTTGGGCCTCTTCCTAATTTTCCCCTTCAAAATGCACGAGTTGTGCAAGGAAAATCCACATTCCACACTAACAAGGCAAGGGTTATAACCAGAACTTGGTTTCTTACAGGCAATATTTTCATCTGTTGTTTCATTTTAGTTTTTTTTTAAGTAAGCTTTTGTGGTGAGAAGTCGTCAGAGTAATAAAGAAGGATGGGAGAATGTGGCATGGAAACTTCCTTTTCCTTTTTTCCCCCAAAGTGCAGGGATTGGGGGTGGTTGGGGGGGACCTATCCCCAAGTCCTCACATCACTCCAGGGCCAAAAGAGCAGATCTGGAAGCAAGAAAGGCCACTAACCCGGAGCCAGGAGCAGAAGGGCCAGCCCCGGGTCACGGATGAACCTGAACGGAACCGCCCCTGCCTCCCAGCCCCCGCGCCTCCCCGACCGGCACGTGGCGAGGGCGCTCGGTTTCCACGCAGAGGGGTGGGAGGGCGGCCCTCCGCTCACAGGGCGCCCAGGGCGCGCTAAAGAACCATCGTCCTGGCTGGGGGTCTGTGCTTCCCGGGCTGTACGGACACGCCGAAGAGAAAGACCACGCTGCACCGCCTCCCTTTCTAAGGAGTTCCAGCGATCTTCCTGGCGGGGACGGGAGGTCACGGGCAGGGACGGGCCCCGGCGACCACGCAGCCAGAGGCCCCGGAGGCTTCGTGCCCGCGACGGCCGAGGCAGGAGCCGCCGCCGCTTCCACGGGCGCGCGCGGGGCCAGCACGTGCCCCTCCCGTTGTCCCGGGAGACGGGCGGGGCTTTGTTCTCAAACCGCGGCCGGTCCCACCGAGCGCCGCGGGCGTCGCGGGCGGGGGTGCGCGGGCTGGGCCTGGTGAGCTGCGCGCCGCCGCCGGGCCGCTCCCTGCCGCCCGCCCCCCGCCGCCCGCCGCGGTGGTACAGCCCGGACCCCAGGCCGCGGGGTGAGCGAGCCGCCGGGAGCAGGGGCGGCTGCGGCCGGGGAGGAGGTGGGACGCCGGCGCCGGGCGGCCCGGGGCGGGGCGGGGTTTCGGCCGAGGAGGTCCAGGGAGAATGGCTCGAGGAAGGGCCGCTGGCCTCAGTTTCCCCGTTGTGCGTCCACCTCTTGGCTGCTGTCTGACTCCCCACCCCGTGCCCTCTAGGCTCCTTTGCCCCTGGCTGTCCCCTGGGAGACCCTGAAACTGCCCACCCTCTTCTTTTGGTTTGTCCACGTCGGACGCGACGGGCCGGGCCTCAGACCCCCCTTAGCGGGTGGAGGGCCCCGCGACCGATGCCAACAGCGCGCCCCTTCTCCCCAACCCAGATTCCATCAGCAACATGCCGGACGTCGAGGAGAAGGTGCCCCTGCAGGACCCTGGCGACGCCGAGAGCGGGGCCTGTGAGCCCGAAACGTCGGTACCGACCCAGGGAGACAAGAGCGGCCCCGAGGACCACCCTCCCCGTAGGTCCAGCCCCGCTGGCCCCGTCGCCCTCGGGGGTGCTTAGCTGGTCAGGTCAGCCGGCTGCCGCGGGCTCCAGCGCCACGTGAAGGGCCCGCAGCTCTCTCTCCCCACTCCCCTCCTCTTGCGGTCTGCCCCTCTCCTTACCTCCTCCCGCCCGATCTCTAGGCCCCCACTGACCGGGAGGTCTTTTTGGTCCTGGAGCAAGAGGTGACCCGAGTGTCCTTACTTGGTTCTGACAGGATCTGAGGCTGAGTCAGTTCAAAGCCATCTTTGTTATTCTCGTATTTTGAATTTGTAGGTGGAAATAGCAGACGCCTGGGGTAGATTTTAAGGAACCCAAATGATCTCAGACGGGAATTGCATTTTCTCGGTGCTTCGTTGACTTCAAGAAGTAATGCTGCCCGGGGCTCAGAGTCCTCGGCTCTAGACTGTAGTGGATGTTCTTTCATGTTCCTATTGGGGCGCAAGGTCTGTTCCTCACTTCGGTTGGTCTGATGCCACTGGGACTCGTCCTGCATTTCTCTGATGATGATCTTCAGAGAATTTAACCAGTTTTCAATCTGAAGACCTAGCCACATGGCAACACACCTGAGTTAAAGTCTTGAAGCTTGCAATGGGAAAAAATTAGTTCAAGGTCCTGCTTACGAAGGTGAATTACGTTTGTTTCTCTGGTAGCCACGTGGGGTCGCTGCTGGCTAACAGAATGGCTGCGAAGCCGCAAGTTGGATACTTGGGAGACGTGAACCTGCTGTGGGGTGAACGTCAATTTTTTGTAAATACAATTTAAATTCTTGAGGTGGCTATTTAAATGAATCCGTATGTAAAACAACTCTGTAAAATGAATAATCAAGTTCCTCTTTTAAAAAGTAAATTTGAAATTTTATATATTAGATCGACTTGGTTAAGTTACTTACTATATTATCTTGAAAGTTTCTTTGTCCTTGGGTTCTGGATTTTTAAAATCTCCTTTAGTTGCATGTTTCCTGTGATTCCTCTTGCCTAGTGTCATGGTGCTTGTGCGCAGCGGCACAGTCTTGTCGGAGCAGGCTGTGAACTTTGCTTTGTTGCAGGCGGAAGGTGTTTGTGTAGACTGTTTCCCTCTGTCCTTGAGTGCTGCTAGAGCTCAGTGTCCCTTTGAATATTTTCTCTTAGCTCTCATTTCGCATCAGTGAATGAGTGGTGAGTCTGTTTACATATTTAACTGCGTTTTGCCTTTTTGGCTGGAACTGGAGACTTCAGAGAAGCCGCAAAAATAAAGGGAACTTCAGCGATCCACTTACGGTTCATTTCACCTTTGTTTACCTAAGTGGGGACTCGGTGACTTTTTGGTAAATTCTACCATTACGTTTTCCCCGTAACTTTTTATTTTGAAATATTTCAAATTTGTTGAGAAGTCAAAAAAAAAAAAATGCAGTGAATGCCCACCTTGTTAACGTTCTGCCACATTGCTCTTTCCCTCTTTCTGTATATATACACGTATTTTTTTCTTCCTTACTCAAAGTAAGTTAGAGTCATGACGACCTCTAAAAATGTCATCACATGTCTTCTAAGAACAAAGGCATTCTCCAGGGTAACCTCTTCTCTACAATAACTTTATTTTTCCTTTTTACGTTTTTAAGTCTTTTTACTTATGGAAAACTGCATTTACAAAAGTAGAGAGATTAGTATAGCGAACCCCCGTTTACTCGTCGTTCAGCGTCAACAGTTATCAGCTCGTGGCCAATGTTAGTTCCTTTGTATCCCCTCCACATCTTGGAGCCGAATATTTTTCTGTGAACAAATTATGAAGCTTCACTGAAAAAGAGAGAGAAAATCGAATTTATTGTGTGCGACTTTGTTTTATATACCAAGTAATCACTTTAACTGCTATATATGCTTATCATTTGAGAAGGCTGTCAGCCAGGTCTGTACTGAGGACTTAGAACAGTGGTTCCCAGATGCTAGTGCTGGTTTGTGACAAAATTCTTAGCAGTATTGAGCGAAATGAAATAAAGGTATTGTGGTGAGTTTTTCCTAAAGCTAAATTGATTCACTTTACAGGATGACTCTTTATTCTGACAGTATTCCCTTTCTGCTCTTTTGCAGGTTGCATTATCCTTCTTTTATGAAATGATGGTTTTGTTTGCAGTAGAGTGGACTTTTTACTTGTTTGTTTTGCTGTCCGTACTTGGCAAAACAAAATGTTGGCAAATTGTTGTCAGTTGCTCAAGATCTTTTTGGGAAATTTATTAGTGTGTGAAATCCTAAAATCTGGGAACCGTTGCTTTAGAAGACCAAATGATGCTGGCACCAGTCAGTACCATCTGTATGGAGAATTTAACTTTGCTCAGAGGCAGGAAGAGGAGAGTAGAATCATAATACCCTTAGATAAATGTTTATTTTTGCAAATCACAAATTATTGTTTCTTTGCTGCTTTATCTTGCTTTTTTTTTAAAGATTGTATTTTTTCCTTTTTCTCCCCAAAGCCCCCCGGTATATAGTTGTACATTCTTAGTTGTGGGTCCTTCTAGTTGTGGCATGTGGGACGCTGCCTCAGCATGGCTTGATGAGCAGTGCCATGTCTGCGCCCAGGATTCGAACCGACGAAACACTGGGCCGCCTGCAGCGGAGCGCGCGAACTTAACCACTCGGCCACGGGGCCAGCCCTAATTATCTTGCTTTTTTTTTTTTTTTAATTATCTTGCTTTTTAAGAGAAAGGTTTTAAATCAGTTTTACTTTCTGTTTTTTGTATAAAATAGCTTCTTAGTCCTCCCTTACCCCCATGCTGGACCACTCCGAGAGGTGCTGTCACGGGTCCTAGAGTTCAGAAAACGTAAATGACTAGAATGGCAGAATGTTTGCGTAAGATCAGTTTGATGAATCTAAATTTGAGGCTTACTCAGTAGAGTGAATCCCTGAATAAACTAGAAATTCAGACTTGTGTGGGTTCACTGTTGTCCACCATAAGTTTTTTTTTGAGGTGTAATTGAGATATTACATTAGTTTCAGATGTACACCATAAGTTCTTTCTGTCACAGGTCTGACAGATACAGTTATCGATGTTTCCAAGCTGAGCAGCGAGACTGGAATGGGTCACGATTTCCATGTGAAAGAGGTTTTCCCTCCAAGCAGGTACAGGCTCTTCTCATTTCCCATCTTATTCATCCCGGCATAGGTATGGAGCACTAATGGCTTCGGACCAGATTTGAAGCATTTCTATTTAATAATGCAATTAGTCAATTGTTTCTCAATACAATGGAAAGAAATACGGTCGTGAATATAAGCCTTAAGAGGTCTCCACAACTTAAACAGAAGAGTAATAAGTTATAATTATTAGTATCAGAGGCTCAAGAAGCAAATGTTATTTAACCAGTGAATAAACCAGAACAATTACTGTTGGAATGTTCACTTTGGGACTCAAGTTGATAACAAAGTATAATTAATTAGGGTGGACTCAGATCTTTTCTGACAGGTGTGGAGGAAGTAGCCTGTAGTAGCCAGCTATTGCTGCATGACAAATTACTTCAAAACTTCGCAGCTAAAACAATGTTCATTATCTCACAGTTTCTGTGGGTCAGAAATATGAGCATGATTTATCTATGGGCGTGGTTCATCTATGGGCATGGTTTATCTGTGGGTGTGATTTAACTATGGGCATGGTTTATCTGTGTGCTTCTGGCTCAAGGTCTCTGATGAGGTTGCAGTCAGTCTGCTGACTGTTGGCCAGAGCCTCCCTCAGTTCTTTGCCACATGGACCTCTCCACATAGGGCAGCTCACAACATGGCGGCCTGCTTCCCTCACTCAGGGTGACAGAATAAGAGTGTGAGAGAGGTGCCCCAGATGGAAACCACAGTCTTTCTGTTACCTAATCTCAGAAGTGACAGCCAATCACCTGTACTACATTCTTTTCACTAGAAACCCAGCCCACAGTCCAGGAGATGGCATTACCCCAGGGTGTGCAAACTGGGAATCATAGATCTTTGGGGTCATCTTGTCAGCTGCCTACCACATAGTAGCTGTCATTTACTCTTTTAAATGATCACAGATTAAACAGGCACAGATAAAAAAATTAATTTTCTAATAGTGGTATTTTTAAACTCTTTTTGACCTGGCTCCATAAATCAGCTTAATTTATGAATGAGGATCAGAACCTTGTTGATAAATAATGCTTCCCCAGCCCCATCAAGCTGTATTTTGATTCTTCTTAGTTATATTGACATTGCAATAAATAAATGAGAATCTTTCGTAAGTGTGAATTGAATGGCTCTGCTGGGTTTTTGGCAGTTAAGTGGGTACACTGAGTGTCAGATTTATACGTTTTAAAACAGTTCTAATTTCCCACCAATAGATAAATAATGGCAGCTTGTGATTAGTTGGCTTCCTCAAATGCTTTTGTTATTTGGCATCTTCAGGGAGGCTGTTACTAACGTGCCATCCTCTGTCACGAGTTGCTCCCTTGGTCTTCATGCTCTGGTTTGTCCTTGCCTGGTGCCGTCGGGTCCGCGCCAAGCGCAGCTCCTCTGGGAACAGGTTTTCACCAAAACCCAGATCTCCGAGCACCTCTCCCACTGCTTGTATGTTTGTTGCTGGCGGAAGAGGAGAAAAAATGAAACTGGGAGGGTAAAGATCTACTCAAGGGGTGGTAGGGAGAAAGTTGGGGAGCAGGTAGAGGAGACGAAAGAGGGAGAAGAGAAGTAGAAACCCATCCAGAGCTGGGTTTTCACGTGAGGCAAAATTTATATCAGGAAAAAAGTTGAAATAGAGTTTGAGGTTGCTCATTCTAGGTAATTGGCTTTGCTTTGGGCTCATAGGATGGTGTTAATTACAATTCTAGGTTTCTAAGGGAAATTCCATGTTTGGGCAGTCATTCATCAGGCATTTATTGAGTGCCTATTATACGGTCGCAAAATGCTGAGTGCTGGGGATAGATATAGCTATAGACAAACAAGGCACTGTCTTTGCTGTCAAAAAGCTTTTGGCAGGGAGACCATTGAATAACAGAAAATGACTGATAAGTTCACGCAGCTGTGTGTATAGTGTTTACTGAGAGTGTTCAGCTGCCTGAGGAGGATCAGAGATTTGTCTGCGGGGGAAGGATTCTGCCTACAAAGACTTGAGTTGAATCTTAGAGGGTGAATAGGTGCTTTCCAGGTGGTCTAGGTGGGAACGAATGCTCCCAGCAGAGGAAACGACATGTCAGAGGCACAGAGTAGTGGTAGAATATGGCATGTTCTTTACAAGTAGCTTGGTGTGGTTGAGCACAAAGTGTTATGAGGCAGGAGGAGACGAATCAGAAAGGGAGGCAGAACGATATCAGGAAGGGTCACAGAAGCCATTTATGCTGCTTATATGAGATAAGAAGCTCCTAAAGGACTTTACATGAGCATGACATCATGATCAGAATTGCATTTTAGAAAAGTTATTGATTTTAGAATGAATTGGTGGAGAACAGATTAAAAAGGGACAAGACTGAAGGCAGGGGGACCAGTAAATGGACTATTGCAGTAGTCCGGGTAAGAGATGATGGTAGGAAGGGATGGGTTCCAGAGACATTTAAGAAGCGAAATTTATGGAACTTGGAGAAGGATTGGATAAATAGGATGAGGAGAAAAGAGTTAAGAACAGTTCCAGTACACGCTGGACCATTAGACAGGTTATAGCTGGGTCCCTCTGATGACTGAGATTGCTGTATTGGGAGAGGAACTGGGACTTTCTTATTCATCTTTGTATTGCTTGTTTTTTTGTTTTAGAAGGAGCGTGCATTACTACTGTATCTTTTTTTAAGGGGGCGTGTTTAATTCAAGAAAACCAGTAGCTGTTTGGCAATGATTAGGTACAGCCTGAGAATTTCCAAATCGTTCTTTTTCTTCTTACTGGTCCAGCTCTATAGGTCAGAGGCATCATTTAAATAAACATTCAAAGGAAAATTTATTACTGTAATTTCTTTTTTTAAAAATTAATAGACAATTTTTTAAGAGTAGTCTTAGTTTTACAGGAAAACAAGTGGAAAGTACAGGGAGTTCCCATATGCCCTCTCTTTCCCCGTACACAATTTCCCTATTATTTACATCTTGTGTTAGTGTGGGGCTTTTGTTACCATTGATGATCCAGTATTAATACATTGTTATTAGCTCAAGTCCATAGTTTATATTGGGGTTCACTTTTTGTGTTGTATATCCTATGGGTTTTGAAAAATGTATAATATGTATTCGCCATTACTGTATCACACAGAGTGATTTCACTGCCCTCAGAATCCCCTGTACTCTACCTCTTTGTGCTTCTCTCCCTCCTCCCCAAACCTTTGGCAACCACTGATCTTTTTACTGTCCCCATAAGTTTCCAGAATGTTCTATAGGTGGAATCATACAGTATGTATGCCGTCATACAGCATACAAATGTAGCCTTTTCAGATTGACTTCTTTCACGTAACAGTATTCATTTAAGACTCCTCCATGTCTTTTGGGGGCTTAAACATCCCAAGAAAAAACGGGTAAAGATCTGAACAGACACCTCACCAGTGAAGGTACACACATAAAATAAGCATGCAAGAAGACATTCGACATCACTTATGATTAGAGACAGAATTTTATGGTTTTTGTACTTATATTGAGGTTGTTGGTCCATTTTGATTTAATTTTTGTATATTGTGTGAGTTAGGGTCTAATTTCGTTCTTGTGGAAATTCATTTGATCATCATTCGTAAAGAGACTGCTATAAACCTCTGTGTACAGGTTTTTGTGTGGACATAAGTTTTCAACTCATTTGAGTAACTACCAAAGAGGACAACTGCTGAATTGTATGGCAAGGGCGTGTTTGGTTTTGTAAGAAATGCCAAGCTGTCTTCCAGAGTGGCTGGACCATTTTGCATTCCCACGAGCAATGAGTGCAAGTTCCTGCTGCTCCACAGCCTCACCAGCATTTGGTGTTGTCAGTGTTCTGGATTTTGGCCTTTCTAACAGGCGTGTAGGGGTGTCTCATTGTTATTTTAATCTGCAATTCCCTGATGACAAATGAGGTGGAACATCTTTTCATATGCTTCTTTTCCATCTGTATATCTACTTTGCTGAGGTGTCCAGATCGTTCTCATTTCAAAATTGGGTTGTTTGTTTTCTTATTGTTGAGTTTTAAGAGTTCTTTGTATATTTTGGATACTAGTCCTTTATCAGATAGGTGCTTTGCAAAAAGTCTCTGGCTTGTCTTTTCATTCTCCTAAGAGTGTCTCTCACAGAGCAGAAGTTTTCAATTTAGTGAAGTCCAGCTTACCAGTTTTTTCTTTCATGGACCTTGCTTTTGATGTTGTATCTAAAAGGTCATTGCCAAACCCAGGGTCACTGAGATTTTCTCCTATGTGGTCTTCTAGAAGTTTCATGCTTTACTTTTAGGTCTGTGATCCATTTGTGGACGGTATAAGGTCTGACTAGATTCCTTTTTTTTCATGTGGATGGCCAGTTGTTCCAGCACCATTTGTTGAAAAGACTATCCTTTATAAATTAAATTGCCTTTGCTGCTTCTGTTTTTTTTTAAGGGGAAAAAAAGACTGATCTTTCTGGCTTCCGACTGGCTACATGGTAGGGCCACTGAGAGACTGGGAATATGGGAGGAAGGTTTGGAGGGGGAAAATAGTGAATTCAGTTTTAGACCTGCTGGTCTGGAAATACCTGTGGATATTCAGGTGTTATCCAAGAAGGAAAATCCTTTCCTATATTTTAGGACTAGTATAAGAAAATGGAAGATGATTTGGTTCATTGCTATATGTGTATATAAATGGAACTAAGTCGCATATTATCTAGGCTAGATGCAAAATCAGTGCTAAGTCAGCTTGGCCCGGCCTCCACTCAGGGCTCCTCCTGCTGCAGAGGGAAGGCTGCTCTGGAACCAAGAGGAGCCCTTCAGAGAGGTTTTACTGATGCCCTTGACATCCAGGTCTAACCCCCACTTGTTCAACTCTGCTGCAGTCCAAGCACAGTTCCTAGCTTTTCCCTGTCAATGTAATGGTGTTTTATCATATCAAATGCTGTTTCTTTGGGGCTTAGGAGAAAATGACCTTATAATAGTTTTTGGATGAAAAAAGTAATTACCTCATTTATCCCTCTTACAGTCTGGAGGGCAAGGTCAAGGAGACAATGCACAATGCCTTTTGGGACCATCTTAAGGAGCAACTGTCAGCTACTCCCCCAGACTTCAGCTGTGCTCTTGAACTTCTGAAAGAAATAAAAGAGGTGAGTGACGTGACCACCTTTTCATTTGTGTCTGTAAAATTCCTGGGCATCCCCAGCTCGCTGGAGTGTCAGTGACTAGCAAATCCTAACTGAACATGGTCCGTGAGTCAGCCAGAGTCTAGTTAGTAGACGGAAATCACACAGTAGTTTCAACAAGGAAGTTTTAATATAAAAATTATTATAATGTAGAACTGGAGAAACAAGGACTTTGGGCTAGTAAGAAGGAAAGAGAACTCTAAAGACCACTAGAATATCAGAGAGAAGGAGAATCCACCATACCTCCATGGCTGAGATAGAACACCAAGGACTCGTTTGAGAGGGTGTAGCCGTGCCAGGGGAAGTTGCTGGCCTTTGCGTGCTGCTGACCACTGTGCACTGCAGGAGTCTGGCACTGGAGAAGCCGCTCAGGCTGCAGGAGCCTGCCAAGTATGCATTCTACGATCAGGATGGAAAGCCGTGGTCTTTTGCAATGTCCTTCTCGTATGTGGTAGACACTCCTAAGGTGACCCCCAATGATCCACACCCCAATGATCCTCTCTCTTTGAGTGTGGATGAGAGCTGTACTTGTCTCTAACCCATAGAATATGGCAAAGGTGATGGGCTGTCACTCCCAAGAATACATTTCGTTATGTCAGACTCCATCTTAGCAGATTGGGGAGGGAGACTCTCCTGCTGGCCTTGGAGAAGCAGATGGGTATGTTGAGAACTGCCTATGGGGAGGGCCACACGGCAAGGAAATGCAGGTGGCCTCCAGAACCTGAGGGCAGCATCCACCCAGCAGCCAGTGAGAAGCTGGGGCCTTCAAGTATACAGCTGTGAGGAAGTGAATTCTGCCAGCAGTTTGAGTGAGCTTGGTACCAGCTTCTTCTCCAGCAGTCACACTTCCACATGAGAATGCAGCCCCTGAGATCATGAGACCTTGATTGCAGCCTTGTGAGACCCTGAACAGAGGACTCAGTTAAATTGTGCCTGGACTCCTGACCCACAGAAACTGTGAGATAATAAATGCGGTTTTAAGCCTCTAAATTTATGGTAATTTGTTGTGCAGCACAGAAAACTAATTAATGTGCCTTCTACAGATGAAGCTTAAAATTGTGCCACAGGGTAAAGGAAAAGTATTTAAAGAACTTACTTCATTTTCTCAGAGCAGAGAAAAGAAGGATGGATTTGGAGCCGAGGGACAAATTGGTAAATGTCACGTTCCACGCCTTTGCCTGCTCAGCTTCCATATGCATCATCTACACACATTTGAATTCCTGAAAAGAACTCTATTTCTACCTAATAAGATACAGCTATTGGTCTCACAAGTTCTCATCCTTTCCCCAAAATGAGGAGACCTATGGTCCCAACAGTTATTGTGTCCATTGCTGTCTACGTTGCTCCTCAATGTTCCATCCCACTGAATATCCTGTTACCTAAAGGCTAAATTGTAAAGTTAACTTCCAACAACCTATCTATAAAATAATGGAAGAAGGAGAGAGAAGAAGAAAATAGTTATCATGTACAAATAAACACATGCCTATAACAATCAAAGAAAAAGTTTATAGCCTTTGTTTCTGTAATTGGTCACAAGGCTAGAGTTGATACCTATGACTTCCTTCTACTCTTCATTCCGTTATTTCCCTTGTCTCAGCCAGAGCCTCAGCTGGCTGGGGTTCTTTATCTGGTAGAGTGACCCAAACCTTCGCTGCCAAAGAGTCTGAGTCCTCAAACATTTTGCTTTTGTTGTTTGCTGTGGTTTTCCATTAACCTTTATTATTGGGATGGAAGTACCAAGAGACATCTCAGAGAATCTTCTGGGTTCCAGCACAGTCCTTTTTGCTCACATTGTGTAGCAGCAACCCAGTTTCTCCTTGGTACTGAGGTCAGTTCCTCTAGCCAGTAGAGTAACTCCTTTTTCACCCTGTTGGTTCAGTGGTATAAGGAGACCAAAATGACAAGGTGGCAGTCTCATCTTCTAGTTCATTGGAACCAATGCAAGCATTACCCCACAATCAGCAGAGCCTAAAGTTGGCAGGATGGGAAACAAAAATTCTGCAAGTAGTTTATAAGGAGTAATAGTAAGAAGAACCAGTCTTCCTTCCACTCCTTGATCCCTGGGACCATGTATTTGGGCTTTGGGGAACAGTACCATATCGTGGTCTTTGATTCAAAGCATATATTGCATCTTATAAGGCAGAAGCTTTCCTTTCAGGATATTGTCCCTCAACTAATGCTGTAACTGAGTCCTCAAGAAACCATCCCACTCTTCACTGAAGGCCGGTGGATTCTCAGTGAGGGGTATGTGGGCACGAAGCCATTGCAGCACTTCCTCTGCTGTAAAATGGGTTCCTTGATCAGATTCAGTGCTATGGGGCATGCCAGGACCCAGGACAGTGGGTAAGGCTTTCTGTGAGTTCACAAATGTTGGTGCTGACAGAAGCATTGCAGACAGGAAAGACAAATCCGTCTCCAGAATAGGTGTCCGTTCCGGGGAGGATGAATCTCCGCTCCTTCCACAATGGGAGAGGTCCAGAGCAGCCGTCTGCCACCAGGCGGCTGGCTCGTCCTCCCTCGGGAATGTTCCCATATTAGGGGCTTAGTTGTTTGTGTTTTTTAGGATTTTTTTTTTTTGTGGTAAAATACATAACAAAATGTTTACCATTTTAACCATTATTAAGGGTGATAATTTGGTGGCATTAAGTATATTCACAATGTGGTGCAGCCATCACCGTTATCCATTTCCAGAATGTTTTCATCTTCCCAAACAGAAACTGTACCCCTTAGACAATGACTCCTCACTCCCTTCCTCCTCCGGTGCCTGGTAACCTCTTTTACTTTCTGTCTCTATGAATTTAACTATTCTAGGTACCTCATGGAGGTGGAATCATACAATATTTATCCTTTTGTATTTTTGTCAGGAAGATTGGCCCTGAGCTAATATCTGTGCCAGTCTTCCTCTATGTTATGTGAGATGCCACCACAGTGTGGCTTGATGAGCAGTGCTAGGTCCAAGCCCAGGACCCAAATCTGTGAACCCCTGCCCATCAAAGTGGTGTGTGCAAACTTAACCACTATGCCATTAGGCTCACCCCATTTGTCCTTTTTTTTTTTTCGCTTTTTCTCCCCAAATGCCCCCAGTACATAGTTGTATATTTTAGCTGTGGGTCCTTCTAGTTGTAGCATGTGGGACGCCACCTCAACATGGCCTGATGAGTGGTGCGATGTCTGTGCCCAGGATCTGAACCGGTGAAACCCTGGGCCGCCGAAGCGGGGCTCGCGAACTTGACCACTCAGCCACGGGGCCGGCCCCTGTCGTTTTGTGTATGACAAATTTCACTTTAGCATAACGTAGCAAAATGTTTTCATCCATGTTCTAAGCATATGTCAGAATTTCATTCCTTTTTATGGCCAAATAAAATTCCATTGTATGGCTATACCACGTTTTGTTTATCCATTCATCTGTTGGTGGTCATTTGTGTTTTTTTCACGTTTTTCTGTTGTGAGTAGTGCTGCTATGTTCACTCATGTACAAGTTTTTGTTTGAACACTGGTTTTCCATTCTTTTGGATATATACTCGAGAGTGGAATTGCTGAGTCATATGGCAATTCTATGTTTAATTTGTTGAGAAACCACTAAACTGTTTTCCACAGTGGTGACACCATTTTACATTCCCACTAGTAAGGTACGAGGGTTCCAGTTTCTCCACATTTTCACCAACACTTATTTTCCCTTTTTTTAAAAAAAAAATTATAGCTATCTTAGTGGGTATGAAGTGGAATCTCATTGCGGTTTTGATTTACATCTCTCTAATGGCTAATAATGTTGAGCATTTTTTCATGTGCTCCTTCCCCATTGATGTCATCCACGGAGAAATGTTTACTTAAGTCGTTTGCCCATTTTTAAATTGAGTTGTTTGTCTTTTTGTTAAGTTGTAAGAGTTCTTTGTGTATTCTGGATGACCCTTGTCAGATAAATGATTTGCACATATTTTATTTCATTCCGTGGGTAGTCTCTTCAATTTCTTGATAGTGCCCTTTGCACAAAAATTTTAATTTTGATGAAGTCCAATTTACCTAATTTTGGACTTTGGTTGCTTTTGCTTTTGGTGTCATATCTTGCCAAATCCAAGATTTTGAGGATTTACCCCTATATTTTCTTCTAAGAGTTTCAGAATTTTAGCTCTTATGTTTAAGTCTGTGATCCATTTTGAGTTAAGACTGTCCTTTCCCTTTGTATGATCTTGGCATTGTTTTCAAAAATTGTTTGACCATATTTTATTTTATTTCTGGACTCTGTTCTTTTAGTCTGTACGTCTGTCCTGTACCAGCACATGCATGGTCTCTTATGGGCCGCTTTCACCTGGTGATAGCTTGCTGTGGTGCATGTCCAATCTTATGTCTAGGTAGGTCAGACAACACCCAGTTCCTCATGGGAAGCTCAGGCCACATGGCCACTTAATGTCCTATGGTGAGGTCTTCTGGCCAAGGCCCAGGAGCAAGCCAGAAACTGTTTCTCAAAAGGCAAATAGTTATCTACAGAAGAGGCATAGATCTGCTCCAGAAGCCTAGAGGTCTGTGCTGTGATGCGCCTATCGGTGCTTGCGAGAGGCTCTATACAGCATCCTTACTAGCTGTAGGCACTTCAGGTGTCATTGAACCTGCTGGATCGTGAGGTCCTGATGGGAGAGCGGCGTATACAGCAGCCTGAACTTGCTGCAGAGTCTACTCTTGCTCTGGTTCCACTTGAAATTGGCAGCTTGTGAGTGACTGAACGAGTGTTGCAGTAGCAAATTCAAACGTGGTGTATGTTGCCTTGAATAATCCAGAAAGGCCTACAGCGTCGTGCCTCTGTTCTCATGGTGGGCGTTGGAGATACAGGGACTTGTCTCTCACTTTGAGGGGGATAGTGTGACAAGGTCCAGACCACTGAAGCTCTAGCAACTTCTCTGAGGTGACGGGCTGCTGAATCTTTGTGGGGATTGTCTGCCATCCTCTAGTGCGTGTTTTTCTAAGGCATCTAAAGTACTCGCTACTTCCTGCTTGTCACATCCAGTGGACATACGGCCATTGGAGTTTGAACCTCACTCATGGTACCAGTTTTGTGTCAGTCAGGGTCCCATCAGGAGAAGGAAACAGTAGTTTGAACAAAGAGAAGCTGCAGTGCTGTAGGAGCTTGCTGAGGAGGAGCACGCCCGAGCCAGGGAGGAAGACCTCTTCCTCTAGCACCCTCTACCAGCAAAACTCAACCATTATGCTAGCCAGCAAAGGAAAGACACTTAAAGGGCTAGCTCCGTTTTCACGGAGTAGGCACTGAACGGTAGACTTGGAACTGAGAGTCTCCAAACTGATAAACTGGCACAGTTTACCATTTAAATAGATAATATGGAGCAACTTTTATTTGTTTAAGATGAAGCTAGACAGTTGGGATCTTGCTATGACAACTCAGTGTTCCATTCAGTTAAACACATATTCCTTAAACCCCATCCCTCACGCCTCCTGTGTTCTGTATGTTACAGAGTCACAGAGATGCATAAGAGAGTCTCTGTCCACAGGGAACTTATATTTTTGGGTTAATAGGCTATTTCCAGTGACTCTTAACAGTTCCTTCGCCTGCTTCCTCCTTGCCCTTTGAAGTAAGATATTCTCAACACTGCCTTTTAAAATTAAGCGTCCTCATCACCATGTGGTGGTATGTATTTTACATTTGTTGTACCTTGCATTTCTTTTTATCACGCTCCTTGATTTTATTCATCTCTTGATTTCATTCTGCATAGAAAGTGATATACCATTGTTGTACTTGATCCCCTGAAGCCTTAAACTATCACTGGCCCCTAAACAAAGATAAAAAACCTTCTCTAGGGAAAGTAGAGACCTGACTTCTTGATCCTTGAAAGACACCAGCTGGGATGTCTGTGGCTAAAGGTATTGTCCATTAGAGACAGTTTGGGGCTCTACGCAGAGCGCATTTCCTTCTCTGACTTTCTTTCCCGAGCAGATCTTGTTATCACTGCTGTTACCACGCCAGAACCGCCTAAGAAGTGAGATCGAAGACGCTCTGGACGTGGACCTCCTCAAGCAGGAAGCGGAACACGGGGCCCTGAATGTCCCTCATCTCTCTAAGTACATCCTCAACACGATGACTTTGCTGTGTGCCCCAGTTCGGGATGAGGCGGTGCAGAAACTAGAGAGCGTGACAGATCCTGTTCGTTTACTGAGGTATGGAACGTGGCTGCTGTCCCCTGAAATGGCCCTCAGCCCCCCGGCCAGGAAAAGCCCCTGTCTTGGCCAGCTCTTCCCTGTTGAAGACCTGACTGACTCCCCTTGGCTCCTCTCTGGCCTGTTAGCTTTTTTTTTCCAAAGATGGCCTTGCAGGGCCTCTGGTTATCCTTAGATTGATCGGGCCCCTGTACAACACCCCACCTCAGAGCACATAATCCTTTCTTCCAAGGAGTTCAAACCTCCCTCTGCCAGGTTTTCTTGCCGCAGTTCACACAGTGTGAGGGGACAGGGATGGAAGGTTATCCTTATTTTATGGCTATAGAAACCGAGGCCCAGAAAGTTAAAAAAAAGAGAAGTGATTAGCCTAGAAATAGCATCAAAAATAGCATCACCTGTAATCCCGCTTCCCAGAGAAAATCGTTAGTGTAGTGGTGTGTTTCCTTTCGCTGACCACCTTTCTTAAGAGACAACCGAATGACCACTGTGGGAGGAAATCTAGCCTGGAGGCTTCAAGGCCCAGAGACTTATCTCTTCCCAGCTCTGCCACTCACTCCCTCCGGCCTTGGGTCCTGGGCCACATGTCGTCTTCCGTAAATTTAGGAGGTGGGACTAAGTTAGTTTTAAAGCTCCTCCTAATTCTACGATTTAACAACTCTGTGTAGGTTCCCCTCTTGCTAGATTCCCTTCCATGGTATAAATACTCTGTTTTCTGCCGTGTCAGAGGGATCTTCCAGGTTCTGGGTCTGATGAAAATGGACATGGTGAACTACACCATCCAGAGCCTTCAGCCCCACCTGCAGGAGCATTCTGTCCAGTATGAACGGGCGAAATTCCAGGAGCTCCTCGACAAGCAGCCTGGTACGTATACCACTCGAGGGCAGGAGTGCGAGGCTAGGACCTTGGGTCTGACTTTTATGGTGTTAGTACTCTGTCTCTTTTTCGGAATAGGAAGTTTCTCCCTCAGGTAGAGGAAAGGAGGAGGACCAGTTATCTAAGACAGAAGGACAACCCCTCCCTACCCCCACCCCCACCAGGCACTTATTTATTGGCCAGGAGTGTATCTTGGAAAGAGCGTTAGTCTTGAAGCCCCAGGGATGCAGACGCACACTCTGTTCCTGTCACAGGCCTCCTGGATCACACCACCAAGTGGCTGACCCAAGCTGCAGCAGACCTCACGGCGCCGCCTCTGCCCGGCCCTGACACTCCCGACTCCTCCGGCGTGGCCAGCCCCTCTCCGAGTGAGCCAGTCGACAGCCCAGAGCCGCTCAGCCCCACAATGGTGCTGTCCCAGGGCTTCCTGAACCTTCTTCTCTGGGACCCTGAAAATGAAGAGTTCCCTGAGGTAGGACGTGGGGAGCATTGCCCTGTTGATTTGTATGCAGGACTTCCGTCAGGACCCTCCTCTCCTGACAGCCTGCTCCTCGCTGCTTCCCCAGACCCTGCAGATGGACAGAGCCCGGCTACAGGAGCTGGAGTCGCAGCTGCACAGGTTAACCGTCCTGGCCTCAGTCTTGCTGGTGGCCAGTAGTTTCTCTGGCAATGTTCTGTTTGGCTCGCCTCAGTTTGTGGACAAGCTGAAACGCGTAACCAAAGCCCTGACAGAGGAGTTTGACTCCAGGTGAGCTGCATAGATTTTTTTTAGGGTAGATGATGATGTGTGGTATGAGGACACAGGCAGGTAATGAATGATGGCTTACATCCCGCCACAAACCATAGAAAGGCCCTTTGGAACCATCAACAAAGATTGTTGGTGTCTTTCCATAAGTGATCTTGAGGCTTCCGACAAAGAAAAATAAAACTTTCTTCCAAAAAGAGTAGTGTGGAGGATAGTTTGCTACAAAATGATTTGTTATCGTGTTTGCTACAAAGGAGTCATTATCTAGTTGAGTGGATGCCAGTGGTCTGGGCTGATGCCTATGCGGGAGTGGGCCAGCCAGTCAGCTGTGCTGGCTGGAAGCCACCGTGTGTCGGGCATCCTGGCAAAGGGAAAAGAGGACTCAGAAGGCCAGGCTTCTCATTCTAATTGGTGAGAGGAGGACAAATGACCCTGGAAATGTCTAAGCGAGTCTTAAAAAGGTATATACGTGTATACACATACCACGGGGCTAAAGAATACTGAGGGGATCCAAAGGTCGACCCAAACCATGTCCAGATTCGATTTTTTGGTTTACCTTGTTTTCGAAGTAGAACATGCTATCGTATATAGAGAATCGTCAGTGTCTCAAGGATAACGGTGAAGGCACTAACCCACCCACCAGGCTGTGCTGCCTCCAGGGCCTGGGGAGAGGACGGGAGGATGGCTGGGAGTCTCCCCGATGGGGCCTGACCTCTGGTGTGGAGCTGCCCTGGCTCTGGGCCTGTGCCAGGGCCGCCTGTGGGTACCAGCTTATGCTCCTTCCTGCTCCAGGCCTGAGGAGGCTATGCTGACCCTGAGTGAACAGGTGTCTCAGGAAATCCATCAAAGCCTCAAGAGCATGGGTCTTGCTCCTCTGAGCAGCGACAACACAGCATCTCTGAAAGGACAGCTCCAGAACATTGCCGCGAAGGAGAACTGTGTCTGCAGTGTCATTGGTGAGCATGCCTGTCGGGTGGTGGGAATGTTGTGGAGAGAGGTGGATCCCAACCCTGGAAGTCAGTTATTGAACCTTTTAACAATAAAAGGCACGATCATTGGGCAAGTCACTGTTTAGGCTTTAGTTTTTTCAAAATGCTGGGTTGAAAATATATCCCTTCTAGTTTAAAGACGGACTCTGTGATTCTAAGGAAGATTTACACCCAGGAGTTCATGACTTCCAGATGTGGCATACTGTCCAACCTGGTAAAGTCGTCCTGGCCTTCTGGGTCATCTTCTGACTGCAGTCCCAGACCTGTGACATCCCCCCCTCATCAAGAAGGAGCTGATGTGGCATTAGGCTGGAGGGCATTCCCGTAGCAGGGACTCCCCTGGCCCCATGTTGGAATGGAGGCTGTGAATTTGGCCTTGCTGTTAACCTCTGCCATCTGCAGGATAAGTCTAAGATCCTCCTGTTATGTTAGGAGCTCACTAGGATCTAACCGATGGATACTTAAGTCACCTTTTGAATAGTCAGAAATTTACTAGCCCACTGATTTTTGATCTTTGCTTTGTCCTTGGGAGCTCGATAGCAGCCCCCTTCCCAAACAAAACAAAACAGAACAAATTTCCTTATCTCCAGGTGAGCAGGTAGGTTAGCGAATATCTCAGTTAACCTGGAACTTGGGTGAGTACACCGCAGGGGCTGTGTTTCTCCCTGAAGGTTGTTTGCCCTTTCTCTTCTCACTGTCTTTTCTTGCTCACAGATCAGCGGATCCATTTGTTCCTCAAATGCTGTTTGGTTCTTGGTGTGCAGCGGTCTCTGTTAGACCTCCCTGGAGGGCTTACTCTCATTGAGGCAGAACTGGCAGAACTGGGCCAAAAGTTTGTCAACCTCACACGTCACAATCAGCAGGTGTTTGGCCCCTACTACATGGAGATCCTAAAAACCCTCATCTCCCCAGCCCAGGCGCTGGAAACAGAAGTGGAGTCTCTCTGATAGGACCTGCTCCAGCCCTGGCACCTTGGACCCAGGAGAGAAGCCCATCGTTTTCCTGGGGTGACATCACCGGTGACCAGCGGAGTTGTGGGCCCTCTTCCCCTCCTGCAGCCGGTACACCTGGGCTCCAGTGATCAAGCATGTAAACACCAGTTGGCCCAACCTTGTTCAATAATAAACTTCTGAACTGCAAGCAAACTTCCGCTCTGCTCCTGCTGCAGCTGTGGCCAGGCCCTGTGCCCTCGGCCCTAGCTAGCTGAGAAGCCAACAGGCCCCCGGTTGTCCTCCACTGGCTAGGTGCTCCCTTCAGCAGACGGAGCTGAGAAGCCAAGACACCCAGGTGCTAGTAGTGTTTTCTCTAAGGGTAAAGCATTTCCCTGAGGGCCCTGAGAACTCTGTGGAATTATCCAAAATGTGACTATAAGGGCTTCACTGGAAGTCAGAAATTTCAGCTCAGGATTGGGCACAATTGAAAGAAGTTATTAGAAACCTCATTTCCAGGACCAAATTTCCTTCAAATGATGCAGTAAGTCAAGAAATAGTAAGAGCCTCAGCTTCCTCTTCTGTTTTCAGGGTCTGAAGCAGTGTGCAAACTGGGGCTGAATGAAATGGATATTGGCTGCTGGCGAGCCTTCTGTTGAGGACAGGTTTCAGAGTTCTTGCAATTTCTCTGAAGTGTCCAGAGTTCAGACTTAGGTCAGTGACTGACTTGGTCGCATTTATCCTTGTTCTCGAGCCGAGTGAGTCTCCTGTATCCTCATCTCTAAGCTTAGCACCCCCCGTTCATCCTGACAGAGTTGATGTGGGCATTCAGAGGTGGACCAGCCTCCATCCTTCTTCCTACTTCCAGTCTGGAACTCTAATTGGCAGTGTGGTTGTGAGCTCATGTTGGCATCACAAGTGAGAGAGGTGCTAGGAAGGACTGGGCTTGTCTCCTGGGATGGCAGAGATCCAACCTGTTGTTCTCAGCCTCACTGCAGCAGACCAGCCCAAACCTAGTATGGCCGAAAGGAGGAAAATGTTCCACTTAGATTCGGCCCTTTTTTTTGTAATGGCAAGAGAAAATGGAAATTCACTTGTGTGCTCTCAAGGTGGGGTGGAGAGAAACAATATTCTCACCATTTCAGCAGACGGAGGGAGCTGAATAGAACACAAATCTGGGAGGAACAACAGAAGTGAGATTTGAGTTGCGTTAGCTCGAGGTTTCCTCCTAATTGACCTCCTTTTTAGAGAGTAGAGCCTAGGTGGGTGACACGGCCAGGACAACAGTGTGACTTTTCCTATGACCAGAAAAGCTGGAGGGCCTGGATCGTTCCGTTTCCATTCTTACAGCTAGACCTCCTCAGGGTGGGGAAGCCCAGAAAAAGGGGCGTGTTGAATAAACAGGCTTGCCTAGATGGAGTCTCTGATTTGCGACAATTAACTTGAACTTTTAAAAAATCCACATTTTGGAAGCTTCATTACCTTAGAGGCAGAAGTGCTCTGAAGAGGACCGCCTGGCTGAGGGGTGCAGACACTGGGCTGACAAGAGAACCTTGCTTTGTACTTCATAATTAAAATCTAGATTGATGGATTTCTTAGAAATTTTGAGTTGATTTTCTTGTGCTGACCTAAACAAGGAAAGATAGTGCCATTCAATCCATTCAATACACATAATATAAAACTTACCAGTAGTGACATTTAATACATTCACAATGTTGTGCAACTAACACCACTGTCTAGTTCCGGAACCTTTTCATTACCACGAAAGGCAGTCTCATACTCATTAAGCAGTCACTTCTCATTTTGCCCTCCCCCTAGCTCCTGGCAACACGAATCTGCTTTCTGTTTCAATGGATTTTCTGACTCTAAATACATGGAATCATAGAATACGAGGTCTTTTGCAACTGGCTTCCTTTCACTTAGTATAATATTTTTAAGATTCATTCTGTTGTAGCGTATATTAGTACTTCATTCCTTTTTAAGGTGAAATAATATTCCGTATTAGAATATAATATAAGAATATCCCATTTTATGGCTAAATAGCCGATAACAATACGGCTATCCATTCATCAGTTGATGGACATTTGGTTTGTTATGACCTTTTGGCTTTTGTGAATGGTGCTACTATGAATATTTGTGTACACGGTTTTGTTTGAATACTTGTTTTCAGTGCTTTTGAGTATATTATACCCCGGAGTAGAATTGATGGGTCATATGGTAATTCTATGTTCAATTTATTGAGAAACCACTGAGCCGTTTTCCACAGTGGTTGTCCAGTTTTACATCCCCACCAGCAATGGATGAGGCTTCCAATTTCTCCACATTTTCACCAACACTTGTTTTCTTTTTTTTTTTTTTAATTTATAGGCATTTTTTTTCTGCTTTTTCTCCCCAGATCTCCCCAGTATATAGTAAAAATACATATATTTTAGTTGTGGGTCCTTCTAGTTGTGGCATATAAGATGCTGCCTCAACATGGCCTGACAAGTGGTGCCATGTCCACGCCCCAGATCCAAACCAGCGAAACCCCGGGCTGCCGAAGCAGAGCGTGAGATCTTAACCACTTGGCCATGGGTCCAGCCCCTAATTTATAGGCATTTTGATGTGAAGTGGAATCTCACTGTGGTTTTGATTTGCATTTCCCTCGTGCTAGCGATGTTGAACATCTTTTCATGTGCTTAGGGAGCATTTGCATATCTTCTTTGGAGAAATACTATTTTAGTCCTTTGCCCATTTTTGAATTGGGTTGTTCTGGTGTTGAGTTGTAAGAGTTCTTTATATATTTTGGATACTAGACCCTTGTCAGATATGATTTGCAAATATTTTCTCCCATTCTGTGGATAGTCCTTTCACTTTCTTGATAGTGACCTTTGCACAAAAGTTTTAATTTTAATGAAGTCCAGTTTACCAGGGTTTCTTTTTATGGATTGTGCTTTTGGTGTCAAGTCTCAGGACTCTTTGCCTAGCCCTGGATCCTAAAGATTTTCTTCTATGTTTTTTGCTGAGAGTTTTATGTTTTACATTTAAGTTCGTGACCCATTTTGAGTTAATTTTTGTATAAGATGTGAGACTTAGGTTGAGGCCTATATTTTTTGCCTGTGGACATCCAATTGCTCCAATATCATTTGTTGAAAAGTCTCTTTCCTCCATTGAATTGCTTTTGCACCGAATAAGTTGGGCTTATTTGTCTGGGTCTCCTTCTGGCTTCTCTCTTCTGTTCTACTATCTCTGTGTCTGTCCCTCTGCCATGCCACGCGGTGTTGATTACTGTAGCTATATAATAAGTTTTGAAATTGAGTAGACCAATTCCTCTCACTTTATTCTTCTTTTTCAAAGTTTTTTAAAGCTATTCTAGTTCCTTTGCCTTTTCGTAGACTAATCGTGTCTATATTTACAAAAAACTTTGTGGGATTTTTGATGTCACAAACATGGTATATCTCTCCAGTTAGTTAGATCTCCTTCGAGTTCTTCCATCAGCCTTGTGTAGTTTTCATCATACAAGTCCTGAACATGTGTTGTTAGATTTACCCCTAAGGATTTCTTTTTTTTTTTTGAGTGATTATAAATGGTGTTTTCACCATTTCACAGCAGGAACCAACCTTGCTGATACCTTGATTTCAGACTTCTAGCCTTCAAATAAAACACATTGAGTGTCCGTTTAAGCCACCCAGTTTGTGCCTTGTTATGGCGGCCCCAGGAAACTAATAAAGTGATATTTACAGGTTCCAGGATGTAGGACCTAGTCTCTTTGGGTGGCCGTCATTCAGCCCACTACCAGGAAGAATGTTTTGTTGACTTTTCCAGCTTCTAGAGACTGTGCACATGCCTTGGCTGGTAGCCCTTTCCTCTGTCACTACCACCTTTGCTGCGTCATCCCTCTTTTCTTACTTTCACCCCCCTGCCTCCCTCTTTTAATAACCCCGTTTTTACATTGGGCCCTTCCAGATAATCCAGGATAATCTCCCCATCTCAAGAGCTTTGATCTAATCACATTTGCAGAGTATTTTTTGCCACATAAGGTAACATATTCACAGGATCTATCAATTAGGATGTGGACATGTTTATGGAGCTATTATTCACCCTCTATTTCCATTTTTCTGAGAGTTTTTATCATGAATGGGTGTTGAATTTTCAATCTTTTTCTGCATCAGTTGATAAAATAATGTGACTTTCCTTCTTTAGCTTGTCATTATGTTGGGTTACATTGATCTTCAAATATTGGCTAGCCTTGCAGTCCTAGAGTGAACGCCACTTGGTTGTGATATACAATTCTTTTTAAATGTATTTGAATGCTATTGGCTATTATTATTATTATTTTTTTTAAAGATTGGCACCTGAGCTAACATCTGTTGCCAATCTTTTTTTCTTTTTCTTCTTCTCCCCAAAGCCCCCCCAGTATATAGTTGTATATTCTAGTTGTAGGTTGTTCTAGTTCTGTTATGTGGGGCGCTGCCTCAGCATGGCTTCATGAGTGGTGCTAGGGGGGCACCCAAGATCCAAACTGGCGAAACCCTGGGTCACCGAAGCGGAGTGCGCAAACTTAGCTGCTCGGCCACAGGGCCGGCACCGTCTATTGGCTGTTATTTGTTAAGGATTTTTTGTGCCTATATTCATGAGGGATATTGGTCGTAGTTTTCTTTTTTTGTACTTTCTTTGTTGGTCTGGGCATCAGGGTAATACTAGCTCACAGAATGAATGAATTAGGAAGTGTTCCTCCTCTTCTGTTTTCTGGAACACATTGTGTAGAATTGGTGTTAATTATTCTTTAAACATTTGATAGAATTCTCCAGTGAAATCATCTGGGCTCAGATTTTTCATTTTTTAATTATGGATTCAGTACTTCTAGTGCTACTCAAATTATCTGTTTCACATTGGGTGAGTTGTGTAAGTTTTTTAAGAAATTGGTTTATTTTGTCTATTGTCAAATTTATGTGTGTAGAGTTGTGATAGTCTCCTCATATTATCCTTTTGATGTCTGCAGGGTCTGTAGTGATAGCCATTGTTTCATTCCTGATAGTATTGGTAATCTATGTCTTCACCTTTTTCTTTGTCAGTTTGGCTATAGGTTTGTTCATTTTATTGATCATTTCATAAAACAGTCTCTTTGTTTCATTGATATTTCCCTATTTTCTGTTTTCATTTCAATTGATTTGTGCTTTTATCTTTATTATTTTCTTCCTTCTCCTTGCTTTGGGTTTATTTTGCTCTTCTTTTTTGAGATTCTTGAGGATAGAGGTACAGATTATTGATTTAAGACTTTTCCTCTTTTCCAATGTATGCATTTACTGCTATGAATTTCCCTCTCAGCACTACTTTACCTTGTCTCACAAATTTTGATATTCATTAAGTTTAATGAATATTTTGATCTCCCTTGAGATGTTCTCTTTGACTCGTGGATTATTTAGAAGTATGTTGTTTATTTCCAAGTGTTTAGAGAATTTCCTGTTGTCTTTCTGTTTCTGATTTCTACTTTGAATCTATTGTGGTTCAAGAACACACTATGTATGATTTTAATTCTTTTAAATTTGTTGAGGTTTGTTTTATGGCCCAGGATGTGGTCTATCTTGGTAGATGTTCTATGGACATTTGAAAAAAAAAATGTGCATTCTGCTGTTGTTGGCCAGAGTGCTCTACAAATGTCAGTGAGATCCTGTTGGTTGATGGTGGTGTCGAGTTCTTCTGTGTCCTCGCTGGTTTTCTCTTTAGTTGTCCTACCAGTTGTTGACAGAGTCTCCAACTATATTTGTTGTATTAGTCTGCCCAGGCTGCCATAACAATACCATAGAAATTTATTTCTCACTGTTGTAGAGGCTGGAAAGTCCCAGATCAAGGTCCAGCAGGGTCGGTTTCTGGTGAGGACTCTCTTCCTGGCTTGTAGATGGTCACCTTCTTGCTATGTCTTCACATGGCCTTCTCTTGGTGCCTGTGTCAGGACAGAGATCTCTCTCTCTCTCCTTGTAAGGCCAGCAATCCTTTTGAATTAGGATCTCACCCTTATGACCTCATTTAATCTTAATTACCCTCAAAAGCCCTATCTCCAAATACAGTTGCATTGGGTTTCCTTTATATATAACTTGTTGCTTTTCTCTTGTGGCTTTTAGGATTCTCTCTTTAATTCTTTTTCTTTTTTTTTAAGATTGGCCCTGAGCTAACATCTGTTGCCAATCTTGTTTTTTTTTCCCTTCTTCTCCCCAAAGCCCCCAGCACACAGTTGTATATTCTAGTTGTAGGTCCTTCTGGCTGTGCTGTGTAGGACGCCGCCTCAGCATGGCTTGATGAGTGGTGTTAGGTCTGCGCCCAGGATCCGAACCAGCAAAACCCTGGGCCACTGAAGCAGAGCACATGAACCCAACCACTTGGCCACAGGCCAGCCCCTCTTTATCTTTAATTCTTGACATTTTAATTATAGTGTATCTTGACGTGGGCCTCTTTGGGTTTATCTTGTTTGGTGCTCTCTGTGCTTCCTGTACCTGGATGTCTGTTTTCTTCCTTAGGTTAGGAAAGTATTCAGCTATTATTTCTTCAAATAGATTCTATGCCCCTCTCTTCTGCTTCTGGGATACCTATAATACGAGTGTTAGTGCACTTGATGTTGTCCCAGA